AAAACTTCTTAGTTGTGTTAGAGAACTAGGTATGGGGTATTGCTTGATGGTGTCTATTTCTTTTTTTATAGGTTTAATCCCTTCTGGGCTTATTGTGTGACCGAAAAATTCTAAAGTTTGAACACCGAAAACACACTCACTTTGATGTGTGTTCATTCGATGTTCATTCAGTCTTTCCAACACTGCTCGTACATGCTGTTCGTGTGATTGTAAATCAGGGTTGCCAATTAACAAATCGTCTATATACCCCTGTGCAAATGGCATATCTCGAACTAGGTTATCTATGAATCTTTGAAATGTCTGTGCCGCATTTCTCAGGCCGAATGGCATGCGTACAAACTCGAATAAGCCAAAGGGTGTAGTAATAGCTGTCTTGGGAATATCTTCATCAGCCACCGGGATATTGTGATATGCCCTGACTAAGTCAATTTTAGTGAATATGTTCATACCCTGTAAACCGTTGGTGAAATCTTGGATATGAGGTATTGGGTATCTATCTGGTACGGTTTGACGGTTTAGGGCTCTGTAATCCCCGCACGGTCGCCAGTCACCTTCATTCTTCTTTGGGACCATATGCAAAGGGGATGCCTATTGACTATCAGAGGGACGGATAATACCCAATTGTAGCATATAATCAAACTCGGCCCTAGCGACTTTGAGCTTATCTGGTGCTAGTCTCCTGGGTTTTGCAAACACCGGTGCACCTTCGGTTTTGATAGTGTGACTCACTTTTAGTTTGTCCTTAGAAGGCTTTTAGTGTTAATCACCGTTTCTTGGTGTCAACTAGAAATTCGTATCTCTCTGGAAAGTCCATCCCCAGTATTGCCAAATCTAAGTCGGCTACCGTGAAAACCCAAGGGAATTGCCTTCTGAACCCCAAATCTAGGGTTAAATTTTTCTGCCCAAATGTCGCAATTTTAGTTTTATTTGCAGCTTGAAGTGTAATTGATGATGTTTCTCGACTAATCTCAGTCTTATTTTGAGGGATGATGCTAAGAGCAGCGCCAGTATCCACCAAGAAATTCAAGCCAGAGTTTCTGTCTCTAACATAAAACAAGCGACTGTTTAGGCGCCCCTCCTCAGTCGTCGCGACCTGGGGAGGGGTTACTCGTTTCCCGCTGTCTTAGAATTATGCTTAGGCCAGGCGCTTGGTTGCATGCACTTGGTTGAGTTGACACCAAACTTCCAGTGGTACCAACAAAACTGCTCAGATTGTCTGGACATTTGTGACCTGTTTTGTGACTTGGATCGTGGTCGTTGTGGTGACCTGCTCCTGTTCCTATGACCCATTTGCATTCTGGTGACAGCCTCAGTGAGACTCTTAACACTCGCAATGAGTCCTTTGTATTAAGGGGTCTCTTGCTGATTCTACTTTTTGTGTGTGATTTATTGTGCCTGATCCAGTTGGAGGACCTCTTTCTATTATTCTGTCGGCTATACGCGCTAAATGAGATAATGAGGTTTCAGGATCCTGTGCATCCAAACAGTGTTGGACGTAGCATGGGAGAGCTTGTATCCATTCTTGTTTTAGGACTGCTTCACCCACTGTGTTATCACCCAATAAGACTTGGAGGTGACGTAAAAACTGTGACGGCGACCGATCACCTAGTGTTTCACCTTGAAAAAGTCTTTGGATTCTTTGACTATCTGATAATGATAAACGGTTCATTATCTCTCGTCTTAAGATGGTGTATGGTTGTGGTGATGGTGGACTTAAAATCAAGTCACGGACTTCTTTGGCGACTGAAGGAGGAAGGATAGAACACAAGTCTCTGTAGCGAATCCCTTCAGATTTGATATTGTGTCTCGTGAAATAATGCTCTAGTTCAGCAAACCACAACTCAGGATCACTACGATCAAATTCTGGAAGTCGGGATTTCGTAGTCATAACAGTGTCTATCTCCACTGGTGACAAATCCTCCAGATTATGGGTTTCTATTGGGTCTGACATGAGGTATGTGACAAATATAGCAATAAAATTAGCACGAAAAATGGTTACTATAACACGAATAACTTAAGATAATAAAAAATAGACTATTCATATACCCAACTTAGTTTACGGTTAATCAGGTCTACTTTTACGATTGAGTAAAAAAATAATGTTAATAACAGAAATGAAGTTAAATTTCGTGTTCAAAAGGACTCACCAGTTTCGTGCCCTAAGGTAACCCTCGTGCTATTGATAGAAGAAACCAGACAAATAGTGAATAGGTCTTTATTTCGATCTTAGCACAGTCACGCTGGAGCGTGGGATTATTTGTTCAGACAAACAAAGCCTCCCAACATTCAATACAAGATAATAGGAAATATAACGCCTATGCAGAATAAGGAAGTGAATGAATTCTTGAACTGTACTGTTTTGGCATATGCTTAGTTGTTTGAGTTCAACTCTTAACCAACCAACCTAAGCTGTTACAACTATGCCTCCGCCCAGTTTTCCGACCGGGTTTGTTAATAGTTTCATCAGTTTTATCAATCGTATCACGCTATCGTCAAGTCATGCGGCAACGAACGAGAACAAATGTGGGGACGACCAGTGTGTTTTAGTACCGGATCACAGAATCTCTTGGCAAAGTATGAGGATCATATATTGAATACTTCGTTTGCGAAATTCCACCATTTTCTCTTTACACTCTGTATGATTCTCCCAAGTCACAATTCCTTTCTATTTCCACTTCTATTTTCTCTTCAACTTGATCTTCTCAATCTTCTGCCGTCTGGGTTTTCACTTCCGATTTATGTTACATACTACCTATATCTTTCGAAATAAGTATCACACACCACAGTGATACTGCTGTATGACAATATCCAGAAACCTTTATGAATAACTATTTATCATGTTCGTTGAAGATAAGCTAATAAGAATTCTGTATTATTGTTTTAGGTGATTCTGAAATACCAGTGGCCCGTGGCATAAACCGATCCGATCTACCTTATTATATTTTAAGTTGCGATTTAGAAATATTTGTTCACCTGATGTTAGTTCTAATGGTAGGCTCTAGATTCTTCATTTTAAACGGCTGCTTGTTTAACAACCACGTGATGGTTTGGTTATTATACCAGTGAAGTACGATAATATTTTAATGCGGTGAATTCGCTATACTAAGTTAAACGTCTTTTTAGGCGACTAATACGATCGACCAATTTATAAACTAGAGTACGCGTAGCAAGAGCGGTTATGATGGGTTTGGTAGAAAATGTTGGGGGCGGTTCAAACGGTAGAAAGATGATAGAATACAACGCGTTTGGTTAGGATCCAATACCACTACACTGTAATTGCTTTGTTGTTACTGTTGTCTCTCCTGCCATCCATACATTGCAGTTTAATTTCCATCGCCGGTGTTCACGAAGCATTTGGTAAACTTTTAGGTGTTCTCCATAAGCTGTTGCCGATATTCCCGGCTTGACTATCATCGTCAAAGTTATACAGTTCCCATAAGTGTTGTGATGGGAGGGGTGATAATGGATGTCTTCGATGTTGTTAATAAAGTCTTGGATTGAACTTTCATTAGTTTGGTTGGGGAACCTTCCCCACACTCGGACACACGTACGACGGCTTTATGTATGAGGACTTGGTTGGGTCCGTTTCAAAACAACAGTGGGTCCAACTACCTCAACAGTTGCATCCGAATACTCAGTCGCTCGTTGTGACAGAAGGAAAGGATGTTTTGTAGACATTGCTGTTGTATCGTTTTCTCTCGGCCAAGAATTCGTTTCCTTCAAGGGTCTAGCTCTGGGGCGTGTCACACCTCTGCTCTTTTGTTGCTTACATGCGGCACTAAGGAAAGAAGTCAAGAGATACACATCGCCTAATAATATACCTTCATAAGTTAATTCAGTCGTGTGACTGGTACTATGGATACTACCACGTGATGCGTCCTCTAGTCTCGGTTTAATGAGTTTCTCAACCTTTTGTTATATATTGGTATCCCTAGCTTATTACTAACCGCTGGAGTAGGATATCGACCACTCGTCGTTTTTGCTATAATGTACGAGATGGCGGATTTGCTGATACCTTGAACAATAATCAACAATTAATGAGTATAGACGCCGAGAGATAATGCTTAGATAGGGTAGACAAATACAAACTGATGGAACAGGAAAGTCTAGGAAACACTTAAATCACAAACATTAACCAAGATTTTCCCACAAAGTACTTTCATGCAGATTTGACAAATGCTTATCACCTCCTGCGTTTGCAGATTGGTAATTGAAAATAGCAGCTTCAATATCTAACGATAACGTAGTTGATCAAGACCGTTAGGTTTACCATAAGACAGTTTAGCTTCAGTGTGACGTTGATTGTCACAAAGTTTGAGGCTCAGTTTTATTCCATGAGTCTTTGAACCGTGAGGGCAGTTAAAGTAATGTCTTAGGAAGCAACAAACTGATCTATATCAGACACATAGTTTTGCTATGTCTTAACTTTTCGCCTATGTAAGTAACACTTTGTGGTAGGCGTCGAGTCGCGATTGACTATGATCACCACTACAGGGAGATTACGTACCAGATATTAGGTTTGATCTCTTTCTAGACCAAAAGGCAACTGACTGTCGTAATAGAATATATTTGTTGGCAATCTCGTGGTATAGACAAAATACCGATATCGTACATAGTAGTACGAGCGGGACTATGTAGCGAAAACGAAAGTGTGCGAGGTCACGGTTAACGGAAAAAAATATGGTTTTAGTACAGTTAAACAAACAAGGACAGTAAAACAACCACTGGTACAAGTGGTTATAACAATAATTGTTCCCATTAAACCAATTGCGTTCTCTACATAAAAATAGGTCATTACAACCTATTCATCTATCACAGCTTTTTTTGTCACTGATATGGAGAGACTTGTGTATAATGATAAACTGACGCTTGGAAGGTCCAAAACTCTATATGTATTGAATGAAAGCATATTACCACAATTTCACTTTTGAATTAGTAGGTTTGTGTGAAAGACACCTTATCTTTGTTTTTGTCAGCTATTATCAAATCTGTAATCGACTATATTTAGCGCTAGTTATGAGAATATTGGTGTTTTCCGTCCTTTGCTAGCTGAAATATTTCAGAACCTTTCAGTCAGAACAGTGAGTGGACTAAAGCTTATGTTTAGTGTCGGAAAGGCGTAACCATTTAATAGTTAGTTTCTTCGCCGTGTCATAATTAGCATATCATTGGAGCAAATCATAGTTATCGACTTTCCAGTGGTGGGTCTTACAAATTACGCAGTGATTTTGATATTTCTTGTGAACTGAAACGACACTTAATAGTTTTATCACTTTTAAGTTGACTAGATTGCTAAAGTTGTTTCAACAACCTAGCCAACGTTAGTTAATTTACTTTAGTGGTTGATAGATTACTGTACGAAGTTCAGTTTGTTAACTAATAGATGGATGAGTTAATTTCTAAACTGCTGTTGGTGTTAATACCAACAGCAAAATTTTGCTGTGTCACTACACTAAGTCATTTTAAATGATGGGCAAATATGGTAGAATAGGTCCTTAGAATACGTACTCATATAGTTTGAGAGCTTCTGGTCGCTTATTAGCAAGAACTAGATTTTTTTCATGCTTACTTCCACGCACTTTCATCGGATGGGAGAAAACGTTTGACTGATTTTCTGTATTTTAGATGATGCTCCTTTCTGTATATTATCCTCGTAAAATCGCTGTTATTTTGACTTTTCATTTATGTTTCGTCTCATGCTTTGAGTAAAAATTGAATACCTGAATACCTGTGCCATCTTTAAAGGTGTTTTGTTAACAGTGCCAAGAAAGTATAAAATATTTGAAGTGGTTTTTTCCATAGTATTTTGCTTATTATTGAGTTTGTGTTTTATGTCGTGTAGATTATACCTGCCAGTGAGATTTATTTGATTACCATTCAGTTCGATACCTCCTAGGATTTTGCGCCGAATTCATTATGGAGGAAGGGTAGGTAATCATTGATTTTTTACTTTTTTACAGTTGTTACAATTAGCTATTTAGAACAGCATTTATAAGGGAACAGCACCGTTTTCAATTAGAACCTCATCAGGCTTTACTCTAATATATATGTTGTTCTAAATCACAATATGGGAATGTTTCGAAACTAGGTATTCTCCACAAAAGTCTGGTTCAAAATTGAATACGTAAACTTGTTCTCATTAAATAAATTACATTGTCAGTATGGGGTTGTAGTTATTGTTGAGTTTTTGATTGAGACCATGAATCGATCAACGTTAAATCACCAATGAAAAACTGGAAGCACTGAACGGCCGTTTTGTCTTAGTATGAGACTTCTCAGCAGTGTGCATCCACTATCGTACTCGCGGGATCCGAACCCAGGACCTTTGGTTTCCCATGGGGACGCTTGTTCTCTAGATTACTGAGCTGGCATCCAACTGTATTAATGTCTGATTTCAACCAATCCACGATATTGCGCGACCATCTTCCATTGCCTTTGGTGGGTAACTGCCTCATACCCGACACGGGTTAGCTCCATTAGTCACGGTTTCTCACTAGAACTCCGAGAATTTCCGCTCGAAGCTAGTCACTAGTGAGCACGTGGTGGTCTAACATTGGTCGACTCATGATCTCAATCAAGTTACGTTTCTTTGGTTTTAATTGCTAAATTTCTAATAAACTCACGTTGAAATTAGTATTTTCGAACATATTTTGTCTGCTTTTGAAAAGTAGTGTTTCACTCCAGAAATCAGTCGGTGAACTTTGAATTTCACGGGATACAACCTGAGAGCATGTATTCTTTGATTTGTTATATTGAGAACTACAGTTACAGGTGTAATTAGAATTTACCACTTGTACGGATTGACAGAAGATGGTTCTAAGAGAAGTACTCATCCACGTTAATAGCCACTGAATAAGACGGGGTGACTGGGAAACTTTTAGTAGCATTACAATCTTTTTTGTCTTACTCAAACTCTCTTAAATAGTTGCATGACATCCTGAATGTTAACTCTTAAAATATTAATTGACGTGTTACAATTATTTTGTATCAGAATCCACAGTATTTTAATCGGTAATCCTTATCTACTGTCCCATTTCCAGTAGTTCGGCTAAGAGTTCTCACGGTGGTAGGCGTAGAAATAAGAAATCTCGAACTTCGAGGCAGCCAATGAGTGAGTAAGTTGAGGTACCTCAATTTTTACTGTTCAGGAACCAGATTATCAAGACTTAAAAAGTCTTGTTACTGTTTCCTTTAAAAATATGACATGGTTTTTAATGCGGCTTAGTGCAACCAAACTCTTGTATTTAATTTTAAGAAGTTATTTTCAACTAATGGAAAGCTCGTCAGCCCTTATGAATTAGTGGTTAGCGAAATTCCAACATGAATACAAAAATCCTTTACCTGGAGATCATTTAAGATATTTAATCACGTTTCGTAGAATATGTGAACCGCAGGTTGACTATATGTCTATTTGCATTTTTGTAATTGATAGAGTATGAGAAGCAGAAATACTGAAAGTACTAAAGAAATTTCTATTTTTCACATTGCAAATATTCACACTAATAGTTGGCATGTGTTCCTGAAACGCATACAAGGTGTATGATTATATGACTGTGGTTGTCAGTCCATTGTAGAAGTAAATAAGTTTAACACATTTATGACGCATGTCTTTAAATCATTGACCATCATCTACTAATTAATTTTGATTTGACTACCATGTTATTGCTTGATATTCCGTATGTGACTCAATTCATTTGGTGATGTATTTCAGGTAGAACTTTGATTATAGAGAGCTTATCAATGTGAATGATATTTGAAGTTTTTGTATTCCATAGGAGGATATATTTCCTGGTATATCATGGCTGACTTGAAACTTTGTTTTTGCTCGTTTTATTTGCCGTCGTCCATATGTACATGTTCCTTTTCGTTTTCATATTGTTCATCACTTTCGTAGATCCCAAGAAACTCAAGAGAGTGGAGATCATCAAGTATCTTCAATTCAACCAAATGTACAAGAGTAAGTCCCTGAGTATTCCGATATGAATGGGCAAATGTGTGAGTATATGTTTTTTGATTATGTGGCTGTAATTAGTGCTAATCTGTTAATGAAGGTTCTTTGGAACTGATAGGAAGATAATTTGATTGGAGTTTTGGGAGGGTATATTGATTGACTATCTGTGTTGTAAATAGATGCTCACTGACTGATTATTTATTCGTTTCTAGACAAAGAGAATATAAGGGATCTATGTGTTTATTTTTCAAAACCTTATATGCAATGACTGCGAGCATTGTTGTTGTAGGTGAATAAATATGTACGTGTGATAGAGGGATCCGGGCTGTTTGATTTTTAGCTAACTGCTCCGGTGTTTTTGACAGAAATTAAGCAGAAATTGTTGTGGTTTTGGATATTTTTGATGAAAGTGCTGGATTATTTGCAGAATGATGGGGAGACTATTTTGAAAATTTTATCTGTTGTCCAGTTACGTTTCACGCTCCAACTATCGAGTTACAGTTCTGATCAGGTATGTACGTTATCTGTTGAATTATTTGTATGATGTTGATTTTTGCTTTGTTAGTTAGCAAACCTTTTTATATAAGATTTGAATATATTGAATTGGTTTTAAGATTCGATTTTCTGTTATTCAGGGCTCCTGTTTCATCGTTGTTTGGTGATGAACCTTCTGCAATTGATGTTCCTTCGACCTCAAAACTAACAAGTTCACCTTCCAAACCCGCGAGACAGAAAAAGAAGCATCCAAAAGTAATAGAAACGTAAGTGCTGTGGTTTGCTGTAGATCGCTTTTTGTTGTAATTCGCAAGCTTGCTTTCTATTTCTGATCGGTTCTTACTTTTCGTTTCAGTGTTCATCTTTCTGAGGATTTCTCTAAGTGAGTTATTTTTATCAATATTCACCATATTTGTTTTATTTGGAAAAAGTATGGTCGGTTTTTACTTGCGTGAAACACGTTATCTTATCTTGTGTATTTTAAGAATGAATATCAAAAGACTTTCAATACCTAATCGACCGGATGGAGGGGGACATTCGGGCAAAGAAATGTATGTGACTGTTAATTGTTGGGATTTTTCGATAAAGCCCAAAGTTGTTTACATGTATCGAGCAGAAGCTCTCGCTGTATATCGTGGTGATGAAGGAAACAGGACTGAAATACGAATGTCTGCTAAGGATAAACGTGCTCTAATTAAACAGGTGGCTGATAGGTAAGTATTTTTCAGATACTCTTCATGATATATTATCATTTCATTTATTTTGTAGTTTACTGGTCATGTATATTGAATTTTATTTGTTTGAGCAAGAACAATTTGACTGGGGACATCACACTTGACTGACTAATACTCTTTCAAACCTTATTACCTACGAATGTTTTAGCTTACACATACACTCATTTTCGAAGTGGAACTTTTCTTTTTACCAACCAGTATTTGTAACTTTCCTTGCTGACTAATTAAAATGAGTGGAGTGGCATTCCCCAACTATGTATGACTATTCCTCGTTTGTAAAATTGGTATGCCTGAATTAGACTCTAAAGAATCACATGAGAAAGCCTAAGAGCTATCAACCATTTTAGGTTAAATTCTTTCATTGTTTAAACGAAGACGGATGTGACGAAAATGACCCTAATATTTGTAAAATTCTAGGAAAACTGTCAATAATCGATTACTGTGTAAAATGACCGATTCGAACAAGTGAACAACTTCAAATATTTCGATTTACCAGTTGCATGACGTGATGAAAGAACACTTGGACTTGAACCGACTGTTTGTGATTGATTTTCATAACAAAATAAAGGATTTCAAAAGAAACACATCAATATAGATTAACAATAAAACTATTTTTGCTTGACGGATAATACCCATACTAAATTTGAAGATTTTCTTGATGAGCACCATGTTTCATATCTAAACTGTGGGTTTATATGTATAAATATTCTGTACTTGCGCTCAAAATATTTACCTGTTTATCGCAATGATGTCGTTGAACCGTTATGCATGATGTAAAAAGTATGTCCAACTACTTTTTATAACACATATTGCATTATCCTTAAACTACGTGTTTCTGTCACTTGTTTATACTAAGATGGTATAAAACTTATAAGACGGTCGTATTGTCGTGTTTAAGTACTTTCTGTTCGGTCTATATAGAATTTCCAGAAAAAGTAATTTATCTTCACTTTTCTCTTCACACATTTTTACTATAATAGTCAGGCATGTTTCGTTTGGTATCGTACATGTACCAATAACAAAAAGTAAATCTCTCCGATAAGAAGAATATCATCCAGTATCGTTTTATAGGTGAACCTATGACAAATCTTTATGACTTGTCTATGGATTTCTTCTTTAAATTTGATATTCACATTCATGGAAGATTTCTGAAAACTTTGTTCCCGGTGGTTCTTGGAATTTCATGTCTGCGTTGCCTAATTCTGAAATTGATGGTTTTCTTTGACTTACTAATTTGTGAAATCTTAGTGGACAGTCTCATTATCGGTCTTGGTAACAATTTGATTTTGTTGGTGTTTCTACTTACGACAACAGTATATGGTTGCTCTCTCTATGTTTACATAGTTTACACGACTGTATAATTTACGATGGTGGCCATGACATATACTCGGCAGATCGTTTGCCAGGGATCGGAAAAGTTCCTACTGAGACAGAAATGAAAATTGTTGACCCACTTGGTCGAGATAATCTTATTCTAAAATATCACTTGATGGAAGTACAGACGGTGTCAACTGACGATGTACAACAATACGTAGAAAACCCAAAAGCAACATCGTTAAACATTCCCCAAGTAATGTTCATGTTTTATAATCATCCTTTCTAGGAATCCATAAGATTGTTAGATTGTATATTAAGAACTGTGTCGAAGCAGTCGTTAATATCTCTTGGAAGATCTGCTTTATTTTACGAAAAGCCAGTGAAAGTCGTTGCAGATAAGCTACTGAGTATCCACAGAGGTTTTATCGCTAGCATTAGACCTCAATGGAAGGTCCGTATGAATATAGACATGGTATTTCATGAGATTTCTAATTTGCTTGTTTTTGAAGACCTACAAGGCTTTTTTCACAGCTGGTAACCTAGCAGATGTTATGTACGAAAAGTATGGAGACAATATGGCCAGATGTAGCTCACAAATGGCTAACGATTTAAGAAGAATACGTGTTGAAACTGATAAGTTTTACAAAAGTGACAATGGTATGTGGCTTTTTTATTTACTCTAATAAAAAACTATTCAAGGACATGTGTATTCTAGACGTTTCACTGTGCATGGAATATCTTCTGTGCCAGCTGATAAGCTTATGATCGAGGAGAGAAAGCAGTCTGTTGCTGCGTACTTTGATGAACATCACCATATTAAGTTAAAATATCCTGATCTTCCGTGCATAAAGGTAATGTGCATTTAGTGTTTCATTCCTTAGGTTGATCAAAAACGAGAGGTTTATATGCCGATGGAATTACTAAATATTCTTCCTTTTCAAGCACCTAACGCGAGCAAGGCTGATGTGGCTAGTGAGGTTATCCGTTGTGCAGCAGTACGTCCTCAAGAACGTTTTCGAGAACTTATGGATTTCACTAATTCGATTTCAAAGTAACTGTATTTCTGTATTTCGATGATAATAATGCGTTAAAGTTTTGAATATGTTCTATCTCGGTTTCCTTATCAGTTAAAGCGTTAGATGTGATGTGCGATTGGTTACTAACAAACTGAATTGTAGGCCCCATTATATCTTAATTAAAAAGTCATTTTCCAATTCAACACAACTTAGTAGTGCTTCTCCAGAAATGCGAATTGCAAATGTGGGTAATGTGGGAGGAGATGAAAACTTTTGGGAGGTGATTTATGAAGTTTAGTCTACTGGAGATGAAACCCTTGATTTGTGTTTCGGCGCTTATCATCAAGACTTACTTCCAATCTTGAGAAGATTAATCAGTCCTACGTGATTCTTATTCTGGTACGTTACCACTGACTTTCTGTTGGATTGAGACACTTATACTGACTTATCACTGAGTATTAAATAGTGTCATCTCTGTCTAGCTGTTTAGTGCTGACTGAATTCTATCGGCCAGGTTTAAGTCTAGGCCTTCGTGTAAATGACTCGGGGGTCGTATGTGCTGTGCTTTGCTGGCTGTTTAGATACAGTGTTGTTAGCTACTTTTTCAAGTTTGTAATTTACATAAGTATGTGATTCGAATTTGGATGTGGGCATCTAAAGAGTTCCAAAAATAGTCGACTTTTGTAAAGATTTTCCCGTAGACAAGTAGCATGAGCTAAATATTCATGGAAATTCATGTGGGTTGTTGTTTGCTTTCGGTGTATTTTTTAAAGTACTTGAACAAGATCGTTGAGTAACACAAATGAGTAGACGAATAAAATTTTGTTTATCAGTCACTGGGTGCCATAAATCTTGACAGTGGTGTTTCTCAAATTAACTTAATTATGTCCATTTATTTCTATCTTAAGGGCACATCGACTATTCCAGTTGTTTCAAGTAAAGATAGCAAACAAACCTGTAGATGTAAAGTCACGTGTACTCCAGCCACCTAAAGCAGTTTTTAATCGTCCAGATAAAATCCAACTGAAGGCTGGAAGTTGGAATACTCCAGATTTTCACGAACCGGCTAAACGTGGTGTTGCAATTCCATGGGGAATACTTTGTGTTCCAAACAACCCAGTATGTTTGAGATTTTGGTTTTCCTTATTGTAGTGATATTTTTAAGTTTTATGGATGATTTGTTCGTTGTTGATGCTATTGGTGTTCGGTAACGTATTGAAATAATTGCCGACTGATGATTACAAGGTTTAGGTTTCTAAATAAATGAATCTTCTTCATAACAATAAACGGCCAACACGGATATAATGAACATTAGATGATAGTGTAAGATTCTAAATGACAGTATTGTATAGGATTTCAAGTAGCTTGTCAAAATTAGATATCACCAACCAATAAGAATCAGTATTGGATCACTGTAAAATAGATAGATGGACATCTCGAACATAGAGTTTCGAATGGATGTGTTTTGGTCTATGTTGCCATGCCTGATTGGCATGACGAATGAAATAATGTAGTAAAAATAATGCAAAAAGACTTAAGCTTGGGAATATGATTTAAAACAACAGTGAGAATGTATGTATGAAGGAATAGTCACTTGACAGCACTTGTATAGAAACGATCAAGATAACTATGATATTATACTACTTTTCAGTTCAACCGCTTAATATCAAATAAACATATTGCAATGTTAAATAGAAATCTAGTAGTTGGATTGCATTTCGATCGGTCACCGACCTGTCGAATTCTGGGAAATTATTAAAGACTAGACAACGTGAGATTGTTTACTACTACTTTTCAACTAAGGATAGGGAGTAAAGTGGTCGAACGCGTCGACAACTTCACTTATCTCGGAAGTCTGATCAGCCCTAATGGGTTGTCTGACAAAATCTCATCATGGATTCAAAATGCTCATTTGACTTTTGCCAACTTACGTCACCTATAAGTGAAGGCGAGATATCCGTCTATCAATTAAGGGACGAGTATACTGCGCAGCACTTCGTTATGTTCTACTTTACGGCTGCGAAACGTGGCCATTAAGAGTAGAAGATACCCGTAAGCGACTTAGAAATATTACTCACATCTGCTGGGATCACCATGTAAGTAATAGTGAGGTTAGACACAGGGTATTAGGGGATGATGTTAAATCAATTGACGTGGTTGTGAATTTTCATCTACTGAGATCGTTGGGTCACGTGTCAGGTATGCATGAACACCGCTTATCACGACGCGCAATGCTGACTAGTGTTGGAAGAAAGTTAGGAGCGGCCAAACCAAAACATGGCATCAGTCCTTGAAGTAACTAACTTCTAGTCTTAGCCATGTTGGTAGATGTAGACTACTTGGTTTGGGTCTGCGCGACTATCGTAACCAATGGTTGGAGCCTCTTGTTGACATGGCTCAGAATCGATCACAATGGCGTCGGTGTATAAACTCTGTCTTCCCTTTAACTGTTTGTTATAACTTGTGACATGTGCGCTCTGTTAATGTATAACGTAACGACACCGTCAATTAGAGAGCAGTGAATTATCGATCGGACCAATGACGCGTAAACCCGTACGATCAGTCTAGAGTACTTATCGGTCCTGATTCCTGCCTAGTCCAGCCAGTTAGGTCCAGAACACCAATCTCAGCCTCTGCAATATAAATCGTTTATTTCAAACATACTGGTTTTATATACCAACCAGACAGACCACATCGTACCATAAAATAGGAAACAACATTTGTACAAGATTTAGCTGAAAGTGGCTGTGAGTGTGGGGGGTAGTAATTAATAGACAGGGCATAATTTAAGAATGGTAAGTTGTACAATAATAGTTCATAGGTCAAATAAGGCTCATAATAAGAGGGACATGGATATATATAGTTTAGTTATTTAACAATCATACGATAAAAATATATGCATAGTATTTGTCCATAAATGGATCCCAAAAGTTACCATTCATTATGCTTATCGGGACATGACACAATTGTATTAAAATTGCTTTATATCTTTTTTTCTTCGTGTACTATATCCTTATATGCAATATTTCTTTTATATACTACCGCCATTAAATTAACAACTTCTATGGATTCGATGTTCATCTTGTTGTGCTAATGAGATATGGCAACTTGGACCGATGCATATATGTGTACTTTCCGACCAAGTAGTGTGCGTAGAAAGTACCTTATAAACATATATGGATTGTTGTTTCCTTATTGAAGTAAAACAAATGTGAACATCAAACAATCACTTCTCATTAACAGCGAAATAATGTTTGTTAAGGGGAAAATTTTTCATTTAACCACGTCAAAATGTGAAAGAAACTCTTTTAAAAAAGCGATGGCCTTGCCTTGTCGTTTTGATGACAGTTACATGGAAACTGACTAGAAAACATTATTGCTTGAAGTATATATGACCCTTTACTTCATCAGTGTGTAATTCTTTTTATGCTTTTTTTCAATCTCTTTGTAATATTTTGTTCTTGATTTTTATTGTAGCGATCTAGAGGCGATGTGGAAAAAGTCACAGACGAATTACCGAAGGCCGCTAACCGTTTCGGTGTTTCCTTCAGCAATAAACCATTTATATCACAATGCTCCCTTAACCAACTCGAAAAAAAGTTTGAGGAATTTCATCGACAAGTAAGTGAACCTAATTTCAGGGAGTTGGTTTTGATTTCTGTAGCAGTTACTAACAAATTCGAATTTTTCCAGGGTTGTAACTTCATTCTGTTGATTCTGTACGATGATTTGGCTTACGGAACAATAAAACGTTTAAGTGACTTGAGAATGGGTATCCGCACACAATGTGTTCGTGGTAGCACTCTACGCAAACCTAATGTGTTTCGTAAGTATCTTTCATTCATTCATATTCGTTTGTTTCAATTTTTAAAACAAATGGACTAATTCAGTCTGTTTTGTTTTAGCCAACCTATTATTGAAACTCAATGGGAAACTTGGTGGTGTTAATTGGATTGTCCCAGATCTTATCGAGAACAGTCAGGATTTAATAATGGTTTTCGGTGCTGATGTTACTCATCCAGCACCGACACAATCTCATCAGGTTCTCAAGTCAGTTGCTGCTGTTGTTGGATCTGTCAGTCCTGAGTTAATGCGATACGGGGCTGTAGTTAGACAACAAGCAACTACTGAGCGAGGAAACAAAACAACAAGAGAAATTATTGATAACTTGCATCTGTCAGTTGGAGAACTGCTCACGGTTAGTCCCTTTAAATTCAATGCAATGTACTCTCTGTTACTACTGTGAAGTATTATTTTTCGCTACTTCTTTATTTCTTTCGCAACAACATTATAATTCGGGAACATTTATATTTATACTATAGCTGTATTTGCGGAATACGAAGGGACGTTTTCCTAAACGTATTATATTCTATCGCGACGGTGTCTCAGAGGGTCAGTTTGAAAATGTTTTGGTGGAGGAGTTGTCTGCCATTCAAAAAGCTTGCACTGATATTCGTCCTGGTGAAGAACCTGCTATTACATTTATCGTTGTCCAGAAGCGACACCATATCCGTTTCAAACCACATGATCCCAGGTAATTAGACGAAATTTTACTGCTCGTAGCTATGATGAAATGTTTAGATATTCGATACAGTTTTTATTTTCAGACATGTTAGATGTTTCTTCAAGACCATATCTCGCATTTTCATTTTGACAGGGCACGGAATGTGGAACCAGGGACTGTCGTGGATACAGATATTACTCATCGTAGAGAGTTCGATTTCTATATTTGTTCTCATGAAGGGATTCAGGTAACTGGTTTCTCTTTGTTGATGATTATTTCTTCCAGGGAACATCAAAACCGTCCCACTATCATGTATTATATGATGACAGTAACTTTACATCGGACGCTCTTCAAATGTTTACGTACCACTTATGTTATGCTTATATGCGGTGCTCTCGTAGTGTCTCTTACCCTGCTCCGGTGTATTATTCTCATTTAGCTGCGTTTCGTGCACGAGATTGGCTATCAAACACGAACGAAGCAAGTGTTTTGCTTGATGGTTATGATCGCTTCAATGTTCACATATCACAAACTGATGGGATGTTTTTCTTGTAAAGTTTCGTTAATTTATTATTTCGGAGAAAACTTTTTATTTTAATATATAGACCATTACGTTTAATAAACAAATTAACGATAAATATAATTGTACAGTTCTTGTTAATGAAGTCGTCGAAAAGGAAATTTTCCCCGTTAAATTCTCTTATTTATTCATTTCATCATTTATTCGAAATAAATTGCATTTATAATGGTTTATGTTGGTTTTAACTTGAGCGATTGAATATATTTTATAACTCGCTATCCCATTCAATTAGGCTCTCAATAATAAACTTTAAATTTGTTGTTAGTCCAACTACTTGATGCAGTGAAGGTTACGAGTTTCTGATTACATAACTACTTATGGTTTGTTTTTCTATGGTGTGTACTTATTATATCATACGGTATTGTCAGGTAGTTGAAGGCATTGTCACAAAGTTTCTTAATACAACAATAGGGAACATATACACAATTTACTATTCACAAATATTGAGGAGTAAAAAATGGTTGGTCTAAAAAAGGCAAATAATGCAATAAAATAGGTAGGTGATAAAGTTTTTTTTTTTAGCTGTGAGAGATCTTTATACACGCTGATTAGTGTATTTGTATTAGAGCGTAGTTTAGTTGCTCATAAAAACAATGTTTTAATAAGACTTGTATTGTAGGATATTGGGCCAAAGTATTGAAATGGAGATAATGATGAGCCTTGGAAGATTTATGGTAAATAGAACGTTAAAGTGAATCATCCTCATTTCTTGTGATTCACAAAAGTTGTTCTATCCTGTAAATGATGTTTTTAGTTGTACTGAAATTAGAAATTAGTCTTCATGGTCCCAGTTGTCACATACGATAAAAGCATCATCATAAAATTTGCAATCTTGATATAAGGCTTTGAAATTTAGTTTTTAAAAAAAAGTAAATATCAGAAAATTCCATCAAATACTTTTCTAGATTCATCCGAAAACTTGTTTGTTCAACAGATTTAGATAGTTCTTATATTATTTACAAACAGTTCGCTCAGTTCTACTCCACTCGAGATGTTGGATAGTGTTATGCAACATAATGAGTTCAAACTACTCTCATATAGTTTACAACATATCAAAGTAAGCTCACTTCATGTCATATTGTTTGCTTCTATTTTGTAAAATACTAATAAACCAGTATCGAGGATGGTATATGTTGGAATATTCAGAAAAATATCCCCAAAATTATCCTGTTAAGTCTAATGCTATCCTTGAACGTGAAATCGTATCATTTTCCTATTGATCAATATTTATTTCACGTGTCATTTCCCTATTGGTCAATATTTATTTCGCGTGTCATTTCCCTGTTGTCAATATTCACGGTAGTCCTAACTGTATAAATATGCATCTGTCTGTAAATTCTTATTCTTCTTCTCCTGACACCACAAACAATTTCTTTCTAATGGTTCGTGTTCTGACATATTGGAGATCGTGGAACAGTATTGGGGTCGTACTGGGATATTTGAAGTTGGTCAATCGGTAGAATTTAGAGTAGCTGTTATAACGTGAAAAATGAATGCTCCTGGTTAAGGGTAGCGAATTATTGATCGGACCAAAGACGCACAAACACGTAGAACGACCTAGGGTTCTGATTGGTCTCGCTTCCCTGTATAGCCCAGCCAATTGAGTCCAGAACACAAGTCACAGCCTCGGATATATGAATCATTATATTTCAAACATGCTTTGTTTATATACCAGTCAAGCAGTCCACAACGTACCACAAAATAGAAATAACATTGTCCAATATTGGCCAACAGGAAAATAACACGTTAAATAAATATTGGCCAATAAGATGATACTATTTCATGTCGAAGGATAGCATTAGGCTTAACAGGATAATTTCTGGGATATTTTCCTGAATATCCCAACAGTAGCCACCCCGCGGTTCACAATAGTATACTTATAAGTTGTTATATTTTACTGCAGAACAAGTAAAAATGTGAACTATTAACCTTATTTTATTGATTAACAGTAGGTCATTATTTATGTATCTGTATAGATGAATAACTTTGTGTAGTATAGCAGATTCACGACAAACGAGTGGTAAACTTTCAAATGATTATTTTCTATATTTTGTTTGAAAAATGGTAATTTATTATGGAAGACCTATGTTTGTTGGGTCGTGATATTAAATCCGTAAGCAGACTTACATTACATCCCGTCTTTGATTTTAAATCAAACTCCGATAGTTTCCTGTATTTAATTTAGTTAAAAAAAACTCACATTGGCGTCAGTTACAATTGGATATTTAAATACTTTTTTAAAACAACCGAAAAGCACACTTTTGGAGTAGGTAATATAGGACTACTAAATTGGTCTACGGTTAAACTGGATACACAAACTGACATTTTAGTAAACATGAAAATAAGAGTACTTTATTGACCAAATATGTTTGTATATTCCTATCATATAAGTAACCTACAAGAAGGCAAACAAATATAAAGTAATTCTGATATTATCAATTTACAAAATCCTAACATTGTGTCGAACACCAACAGAAATGATATAACCAACTCAAGCTTATACGAATTTCTATCCTTTTATTAAACAAATCGTTTTTTTCATTTTATAGATGTTAAAGTACATTTTACAAATTTTATTTATGTCTCTATGAGCGTAGTGGGAAAAGGATTAATAAACAATACTAACTGATACAGTGGAAATAAGTTGGAGAATCAGGTCTTAATTTCACTACCACTTGAGTAATCTATAATAGAACCCGTCTTTTCAAATCATTCAGATTTCGAAGGACTGATTGTGTTTGTTTTCGCATTCGTCGCTTTGTACATAATAAGCCTATCATTTCACTAGAGTATATAAACTTATGTTTCCCAGTCGCGTCTGTCTTTTGCCATCAGTTCATGTGACGAGGAAGCTCTAAAAGATGTGGAAACTTTCACGTACCTGGGCAGCAACATCGATGAATAAGGAGGATCTCATACAGACGTAAGGGCAAGAATTGGCAAAGCAAGGGCAGCATTCGTACGGTTGGAGAACATATGGAACTCAAAACAATTATCCAAAAGCCAATATCTATTGTCAGAATCGTCAATACGAATATCAAGACAGTTCTATTGTGCGAAGGTGTAACTTGGAGAACTACCACAACCACCATCAAAAAGTACAATTATTTATAAACAATTTTCTACACAAGATATTGGCACCAATGAAATATTTATCTTAGTTGACTTTTTATGTGCTCTGTCGACTTAACACTTAGGACAACGTTAAATTAAAAGTCGAATACGAAAGTAATTTCCGACGTTCATTAATGCATACGGACGATAAGCTATAAGGATCAGAGAAGGAATAAAATCCTATTCAATATGATTGAACATAACATGTGGCTCACTGTAAGACACAAGCAGGAGTATAGATACATACATACTACCGTACACTCATGCTCAAGGGCATAAGTGACAGAATGACTGGAAAATTATGATGACTCATCTGTCCAAAAGTTAGGATAAACACGTAGGTGTGAAATAGGCTAAGATCTTTTAGTCTATCGATCAGCATTTCGCCCCTTATTATCATGTTGACAACCCTAAATATGTTCATCATCAAAAATCTTCAACCCCTCTAGAACACAATTAAATTTGTTCCTCTTATTTTTCTACTTATAAATTAGTTTAAAGTAAATTTTAAAGAAAGTAAACTGAATTACAATGAAAAGGAGTATCGAGAAGTAATGATGAGAATTAAGCGATGCTTTCTGGTAAATAATTAGTTCACTGAAAGTTTTGACATGTCTTTTGGACTTTCCGACTTTTCCGAAAATAACTAACAGAATAACGTACATCTGTTTTTTGTGTATTACACAAGGGATTATAAGTTTAAAAAATTAATTATCTGATACATTCCTCAAAGAATTGTTGACAGGGGGAAAATATTTAACGATACTGCTTAACCGCTTCACATTCTTATTATCTATTGAATGTATTTCATTGACTAAACGGTCTGAAGAGTATAAGCTGTACAATTCAAGTTGATTGTTTATTCACTAGGTATAAAAGTTGTCAGTTTTGAGGATGAGGTGATCTTAGCCTTTACATACTTCATGATAATTACTAGTGTGTCAGGATTTATAAAAAGCTAAGAACAAGAAAATATTTCTCCAGTATGTTGGTTCGGGATGTATGCATCACGTATATTTACCGAAGACCGTGTATTCTCAGTCCTTGACCTAACTGCCAAGTGCCAGGATGGAGACAACACAGTAGTCGATTAGATCTTCATGAAGTGTCGTATGTATGCTTTTGTATTGTAAGGTTTTTCCAAAGTTTGAAGTGGGGTGGGGAAAGCTGTCGTTTCGTTATTTATACCTATGGTTCAACCAGCTGACGTAAAGATGTAACATTTAATTATTTCTGTCGCCAACTAAATGACCTCAGTGAAAGCTCATTGTGTGGATGACCTATGAGAACTTGCCGATCTCAGATTGAACAGGCCACAGGTACAAAAATCATCCCTCAAGCTTGTAATCAAATAGATCATACCGCAATCTGTTGTTGATGTTGAGGTTGTGGGAGATAATGCTGCTCTCTTTCAGGTACCTATCTGGATTCTGAATATCTTGTAGTAAGTGGCGAACCCATCATGGATTATGCAAATTAGGAACTAATCACCCTTAACACGTTGATGTAAGCGAATCGACTTCAGCTACCATTGCAACCAAATATGGTACGGCGTTGTGTTCAAGACTATCTGTGTCTATCCTCTTGAAAGTATAAATGGTCAGTAGTTACACTTAAAAATGCGTGTTCAGTTACATGCATCTTGTATTAAGCCTATTCCACTACTGTATTATTTATCTGCACACTGTAATTTAAACACTTAATCCATCATGTAGTTTTCTGTGTGAATCTGATTGAGCACACTTCTGCACACCAATCTTTAATCTATTCTCCCATTGGTCGTAATATACACAGACAATCAATAATTTATCCATACTTGATTAGCACTCATAAATATATATGGATTTTTAACATACACTCTTGGTTCCCCTGTGTGCTTGCTTCCTGTACGCTTGCGGATTTTACCAATCTTTAACAATAAACTATCTCTATAACTGGTGTTCAGGCTTTTGAATAATCTCGAGTAAGTCCATAATTCTACTAGGAGATTTAGCCTGTAATAAATACTCAGTTAACGGGATACTATTTACAGGAGTCAGATATAGAGGATACTAGCTCTACAAAGTTAGTGACCCGCATTTAGAACACGCACTATTTCTATACAATCTTTTTGTATCGTTTTGCTTATAAGTACGGTTTATTTAGTCTCTATACATTCCCTTGTTACCCAATGGATTGTGCGTACCATTAATAAAGTAGGTAGCTTAAACGTGAGATATTAAAAGCATACGCTTAAACAGCAGAATCTGATGAATATGGACTGCTATTGAGTTGGAAGCATAAGATGCATCTAACAAATATTCCGAGCTATTATCACTAATCTGGTTTCAGTAATACAATTTTTGGGGTCAAAGACTATTTCATTAGCAGAATTTGGACACTAGATTAGGATAGTGGATAGTTCAACTGACTGGTTGTTCAAAAAACTTGAAACACACTGCCCTGTTCTTTAACAGTGTACACTTAACGAAGGAGAGGACTGGAAAGGAAGTTTCAGTTTATCTGCGCAACTATCTATTGTTCCAGAACAGTAATGATTTCAGATAACTTTACCTAGGCTAGACATTTATTACTCTCTTGATCTGCCCACACAATATTATACAGGAGAGACTATATATATATACAAATTTTACTATATTTCGATCACTACGATAGATTATACAGTTTTAAAACTGGATCTAGCATTCCGTCATTCATTTTTGTCCCAAAAGTGCTAAATAGTCATGTATTGGTTGAACTGGGATGATTCGGATATGATGGCAAGTGGTAGGACGAAATAGCTGAAGACTATGACTCCTGAAGATTTTAAGAATGGTTTTGAATAATTTAAAGGGAAACGAGACAAATAAATATTATACTGAAGGAATTAAAACAGTATACATTGAAAGTTTGCAAAATGAACCTTTTTGCACTTCACTTTGAGTATTTATTAAACAGAATAGTAGGTATAAAATCGTTTAACATACGATTAGTGCCCAGAAATATCACCAATTTGAATGACTTTTGTCTTCTTTACTAATTGAAATAATCGATAAATGGGATTGCGTTAATGAATTAATATACTATAGGTACTTTGATAATGAGTAAATGAATTTTGGAAAAAAATATTTACAGTCATCACCTACTTAGTTATGTTATGACAACTTACCTATAAGATTCAGTATTTCGATACTGCAACCATTTATTGGGAAGTTCAACATTTTCTATGAGAATAAATGTCTATAGCTTACTGGTGGGAAAAAAAATTTGTAGTACATACACACATACGTGATACATAGACAGAGCACAATTTTTCATCAAAACAATTTAGATATAACATTTATGTGTAATTAAAATCTCTGCTCATTATTGGAAATTTCTACGCAGTTTAGATTTTAAGATACATTCTACAGATTGTCCAAGGGTATTTATTCACATGATGGTGGTTGGTAAGTGCTTTTTTTTTTAGAAACTACTACATTATGTGTCATGTAGGTACAAATGATTTACTTCCTCGTAAAAGCAAATAGAATTTTCCTATTGGGTTTAACACGCGACCTTGAAGCCAGTTTTCTATTGGTCTACTCTCAGGTTTTTCCATCCATTAAAATAAGTGTAATTTTTATTTGGTTAATACTCAATACAAAATACTTAAAAATTCATTTGTTTGAATCTGATGTCAAAATTATTATTCCCTTATTACGAATCAGTGAATTATACAGACTCTTTTTTGAAATATAAACAATATAGTCATCAATTAATTTAGTCAAATTTGACAATTTTCACATTTTCATTATCCTTTTATAATTTGTAATATGAAATGATCTTTGTTAAAAAAGAAACTTATAATAACTATAGCAGTATAAATGATGGTTATATAATGAACCCAATTCTTATTATTGATGATCAAAAATTGTCAAATTATGTAATGGCTAATAAGTTAGAAAGTACAAATTGGACATTATGGTTAAGTATAACAGTTGTTTTACTTACAATGATAGTTACATGGATGTTACATATTTCTATTATGATATCTGTTTGTAGAAATATGATTATGAAACACATCACATATTATTATATCATTTCAATCGGATTTGTTGTGATGTTACACTCATTGTTAAATTTTCCAGTGAACATCATAAGTGACTTGATAGGTAGGTTGCTTGTAATTTGATTATCTGGCTTTTGAGTAATTTTAATTAAGGTATATATTTGAGAGAACAAGTTGATTGTGGATTACGTAGTTGTCGTGAAAAGTAAGTGTTCTCCTTTTAGTGATAATTTAAGCTGGGACATTCAATCATTTTATTCTAAGAGTTTCGAATTTATGTGAATCGATGTAGTTATCTAGATTTAACTTCTTTTTATAAACAAGTCGGGTATATTTTGCAGGAAAAATACTAATCTTAATTAGTCTGCAATATTCAATGATAGTTTATCCAGACATCACAATTGATTGAAATCTACTTTATCACTAGACTGTTCAATAATTACACGAACTGAAGTAATGAAAAGTTCAGCTTAAACTCTTCAAAATACTACTTGTTTGTGGCCGTACATCTGTTCCATCTTTATACTATTGGTTAAAATATACCTAGAATTTCTTAAAAGTCAAACTTTTCATCCATCTTGTCAACTCATATTTTGTTAGAGTTAAATGAAGAAAACATTCTCTCAGATTTAGTTTGAGAGTAATCATTCATGCAATGAATCAGCGATCGGAAATTACAAAAGATAAGACAAATTCTGCGTTTTCGTTAGTACAAGGTATTGATAGTTGTTCTAGTCTTGGAGCATCTTTACAGCCTTTATAGTCCTAAACAAAACTCATCTACTTGAAAGACCTGTTTTCATCAGTACATCATCTTTACAGTACTTAGTAATTCATTAATTTTCCGAGATTTATCAATTTTCACCAAACGCTTTAGTTGTTTTGTTCGGTAAATTATTAGACAGATCATGCAGGTGATACATGATGCCCATTAAGTTAGATCGTAAAAAATCACATTGTATCAAACTGTATATTCTGATCTCGAAATTAATTTGCATTCATTATAATGATTAAATGTACATCTGCATGAAATAAATCATGTATGTAAGTATATTTATTACCATAACGTTTTATTGAACATTGAGTTAGATAAATTAAAAATCACTGAATATATATTGAATAATCAGGGATAATTTTAAGGAAATTATATGAACTCATGGCAAATCACAACATATGTTTTACTCTACAAATCATTACTGAATTACCATAAGAAATGGAGAATTGATAAAAAAAAGAAGTTCTTTAGTTTATATATTGTTCATTTATTTTTAAGCGCTAATAAGTGTTTTAGTTTACCGATTGTAAAACTTGTGGATTTTAAGACTAAACTGTATTGAGAACTTATTTTGTTGATAAGATTTTTAAACTGGATTAATATATGTAATAAAATTTTAAGTCTATTAAATGTTTAGCATAGTTACGTACAAACAATGATCACTATGTTTGTCCATACTGATTTTTAATGACAGTTCATTTTATATTAGACCATGATAAGAACTAACATTAAACTGAATAATTTTTTTATTGATGTTCGTAAAATATAATTTCCTGTTTGTTTGTGTTTTATAAATAAACCAACAAAACTATTATTTTTTATGACAAAAATCTATCAGTTACCATGTGACGGAATTTAACTCTAAATTGATCGAAATTTATGCTTATTGAATTGTTCATACAGTGATAAAACTGAAAAATTAGATTTGTTGATTTGACTTTTTATTATGATAATTGTACTTTAAATAGTTTTAATAGTATTTTGTACTTATTTAGATTGTAGGCAGTCACAGATTAATGTACATAAATAAGAAAATGTCATATAAACAGGTGAAAATGAACTAGGTTTTTCAACAGTTCTACAATTATTATACACTAGAATAACTTTGTAACTAAAAATAATAATTGATTATTAATCGTAATAAAGTGTCATGATTCATCAGTATCTACAATGAATCAGTAAATATCATTACTAAGGTTTGATTTGATAATTTCGAATAAATTGAGCTTCAGGTTGGCTGTTCATCATAACAGAATATATACAATAATTGTTACCTTACGTGTTGCGTATGCCTGAACACCGTTTACCACGACGCGCGATGCTGTTTAGTGTTGGTGATAGTTGGAAGAAAGTTAATGGCGGACAAACCAAAACATGGTATCAGTGCTTGAAGTCACTAACTTCTAGTCTGAACCACGTTGGTAGATGCAGACTAATTAGTTGGGGTCTACGTGATTATCTTAACCAATGGTTGGAGATTCTTGGTGACATGGCTAAGAATCGATCACAATGGCGTAGGCATATACACTCTTTCTTTCCCCTTAAACTATGAGACGAAAATTATTTTATATCTTTCTTTCTACGAACTAACTCTTTCTTCCTGTACTATATCCTTATATGCAATCTTATCTTTATATATTACACCATTGAGTAAACTCCTTCTATGAGCCCGGTGTTCGTCCTGCTGTGCTAATGAGGTGTAGCAACTTGGTCCGCCGCACATGTATGCCTGGTCCTACGTTGTAACTGACTGACTGAAGTTTTAACTAAATGATATAACATCACAAAATTCAACATTATTTCGACTGTATTAAGTATTCTGATTTGCTGTTTTGTACTATTTAGACATGCCTTAGTTAGATTTTATTATTTACTGTCTAAAAGTTAATTTACACTAAGCTGCAAAATGTTACAGGTTCAGTTTCCTGTTCACGGATGTAATACAAACATTATTATAATAATAATTTTCTTATAATACAATTTATACACATGATGTGAATATTCGTCAATGTACACTTGTACACTATTTTAAAGAAGCTTAATAAAATCCCTTTTATTCGATAGCAATATCAATATTAACCTAACTATAGGTAATGTTATTTAAACATAAGTAATAACATTGTAACATTAGGTTGAAACGTCATTTAACCTCAGAAAATATGTCAATGGGTTAATATGATCGCGAAGTTTTAAATGATCACATAATTTATCTCACTGAAAACAAAACATTCTATAACAACCCTTACATTTCTTACTCTTCTTTACAACGTGAATCCACGAAAGCTTCAGTGGGGCTCTTCATTTTGACGTCAATCAGATCAGACGATGTAATCGACGGACTCACCACTTTTGTGGGACATATATTTGTCTCCACTTGGATCGTACGAATGATTGATATTGAAATCAACACATCGTCAATCCTCGTATATTATCATGGAATTAACTCACGTTAGTGAATATTGGAATTAAAATAAGTCAAATACGAGAGAGGATTTCGAATACGTATATTTTGTACAATCATTAATCCAGGCAGACGATCAAAGGAACAGAGCAAAACGAAGTGATGGGCGGTGGGAAAAGCATGTGAGCCAACTCTTTTTCAACCACGCATTAATCGATATTTATAGTCACACAAAAGTACGTTACAGACATGTGATGAATGGGATAATAAACGCACACACATATGCTTGCGTTAAAACAGTCAAGGTTGATAAGCGAACAATTAGCAAGGTCAAACTTATAACTCATCAAGAATTGATAAATTGACCTGTCCAGAAGCTAGAATAAGTTATGTGGGCTTAACATAGTAATCGACAATACAAAGTATATGGAAGACATTCCAAAAATGTTTGGAAGAATAACAACGTCACAAATGCTGTCGTCATCACTTTCAATCACCACGTCAAACACTACCAGATATGAGATAACCACATAACAAATAAATTGCATACAGTAACATGGTGAGAAGTTATGCACACTCATCCGATTCATCTCATTGTGTTGATTGCAATGTCCTAGAGTGAACATCAACTCTGAGATGCATGTACGTTCAGCTGACAAGCCCCAACTTGGACGAAACGCGTGTCCTGGGTTCCACTGCTAGCCACTATCCATCATTGCTTATAATGCTTGTGAATTAAGGCAATATCGAGGCATACTCACATTATGCACATATGCCAATAAGAAACTGATCAATTGTAGTCCTAAACATCAATGGGAAGATTCAAGTAAACAATATCAAGGGAATTTAGATATAGTATTGTGGCGAAACTCTAATTTAGGGACGACCTTTGAAGGAATCTTAAATGACCTTGACAGTTACTAGCCAATCAGAAGACAGTATAAAGTGAATATATAAGAATGTAATGAATTACGGTGGATATTCTTCTTTTACATGATTTAAAAACTTGTTTAGGTTTGATAAAGGTTCAGAGGTTCTGAATTCATAATGCATATGGTATAGAAACTCGTCCATAGGGTTAGGGTTTAGGGTTAGGTTAGCGTTAGGGTTAAGGTTAGGGTTAGGGTGCTAACATACGATCGGTTTACAACGGATTTTAGAGAAGAGGTGTTTATTGAGAGGATACAACCCTAACCCTAAGCTACAAACCTAACCCTAACCTCTAACCCTAAACCCTAACCCTATGGACGAGTTTCTATACCATGTGCATTATGAATTCAGGACTTCTGAACCTTTATCAAACCTTAACAAGTTTTTAAATCATGTAAAAGAAGAATGTCTGCTGTACTTCATTACTTTCCTATAATATATTTTTACTTTATACTGTCTTCTGATTGGTTAATAATTGAAATTGCTCAAACGCTTCTGATTGGCTCGTCCCTAAATTAGAGTCTCGCCAGTATTGTTACGGTGGGTTAATGTTCTTTGAAAGTAGTTTTTGAGGAAGCACTGAACAAAAATACCAAGTAACATCCGTCTTGTAATTATTGTTTTTTTGCGAACAAGTTTGTCGCAAACGAAATTTCCTTATGAATCGTAAAAAAATTATAAGGTCCTGTGATTCATGAAATGATTGCGTAAACTTATGTTGTTTTTCTAAATAACAGTATTACATAAAATTCGTCTTAATGCACAAGACGGTAGCATGAAAAAAAAAGAATCATTCATTGGAGAAATGGAAGATGTGAAAGATATGACGAACAAAAATGAAAATACCTAAAATTATCTGTTAAATTTTTCGTCGTCAAACCAACAAATGACGTCGAAAGTAAGATAAATAATAATACTGATGGTAGTAATACTAACAGATAAAATGGAGTCAAACATTTTGGGACGTTAGATCCCCAGAACTCACTTGGGAAAGGAC